ACCAAATCTTAAAAACCCAAAACAATATTTACCAATTATTTAATAAAATAAGAAAAGGTTAAAAAAATTACATCGATATTATTTGTCAAATAATTTCACTTTAATATCATTTTTGATTCAACCACAAAAACTAAAATAAATCCATATCTTAATTGTTTTGTATCCACTATAAATTAGTAGAATAATTTAAAATCACACAGATAATATATCAATAGAATATATAATATAATAATATTACTTTAACCGAAGTAAGAATTAATTTATTGTGATAAAAAAAATACATCACATAACAATTAAAATGCCCCCACGTTATACCGCGGAAATTGACATATCAAAAAGAATAAAAAGTAACGTAACAATTGAAATACTCTAAAAGTGTGTCACCGAATTGACATATGAATGTAAAATAATAAAATAAATTTTTTTAATTAAAGGAAAATAATAAAAATGAAATATAATATAATTAGGCCTTAATTAAAATAAAAATTTATTAATATAAAAAATGAAAAAAATTAATGGATGTTTATATGAAAAAATAATATTTATTGATAATTTTTTCTAAGACATTATTACGATAAAAGGAATGAGAATTCCGGTACTGTATCTGTAACATTATAGTACACATATTTACAGTAACTACATGTGGACATGTGTCCCCGTGGCGCATTATAGAGATTCCCCCTCTCACGGTATCCAACGAAGAATATATCAGCGGGGAACAAAACAACCGCGCCACCACCAACACCACAAGCGCATTGTAGCGTTCTCACATCGAAGTTCAAAATATTCTGTTGTGTTTTTTTTATTTAATAATATAATGAAGTAGCTAATCGACCATTGCCAACTTGTACTGCTACACATTAAGCATATATTATATATCTAATAAACACACTATAACTACCTGACATCATCTTCTATTATTCTTATTATTCAAGTAAACCAAAACATTAACTACATATTTTGGGCCCCATTATCTGATTGATGATAGTGATTTATCTTGCTGCATCTAAAAATGGTTCAAGGACTGAGCTCAACACTAATATTTTATGTAAGATTGATAATTGAACCTAGCTACTTAGGCTCGGTTCAGAAAAGACTCAATTTGAGTTTAGCTCGATTCGAACTCAACTCGTGTTGAGTTTGAATAATTTTTTAGATTTATTTAAAAAATCATTTCAACTCGATTTAGTTTTAACTTAACTTGAGTCTGACCTTTTTTTTAAATGAGTCGAACTTTAACAATTTTTTATACTCATTTAAAAAAATAAGTTCGATAGACTCGACTCGATTAACACTCCTAATCTTATGTATCAAAGTCAGTGAAATTAAATTCAAACAATAGGTTATGCTTTTNACACAGATAATATATCAATAGAATATATAATATAATAATATTACTTTAACCGAAGTAAGAATTAATTTATTGTGATAAAAAAAATACATCACATAACAATTAAAATGCCCCCACGTTATACCGCGGAAATTGACATATCAAAAAGAATAAAAAGTAACGTAACAATTGAAATACTCTAAAAGTGTGTCACCGAATTGACATATGAATGTAAAATAATAAAATAAATTTTTTTAATTAAAGGAAAATAATAAAAATGAAATATAATATAATTAGGCCTTAATTAAAATAAAAATTTATTAATATAAAAAATGAAAAAAATTAATGGATGTTTATATGAAAAAATAATATTTATTGATAATTTTTTCTAAGACATTATTACGATAAAAGGAATGAGAATTCCGGTACTGTATCTGTAACATTATAGTACACATATTTACAGTAACTACATGTGGACATGTGTCCCCGTGGCGCATTATAGAGATTCCCCCTCTCACGGTATCCAACAAAGAATATATCAGCGGGGAACAAAACAACCGCGCCACCACCAACACCGCAAGCGCATTGTAGCGTTCTCACATCGAAGTTCAAAATATTCTGTTGTTTTTTTTTTATTTAATAATATAATGAAGTAGCTAATCGACCATTGCCAACTTGTACTGCTACACATTAAGCATATATTATATATCTAATAAACACACTATAACTACCTGACATCATCTTCTATTATTCTTATTATTCAAGTAAACCAAAACATTAACAACATATTTTGGGCCCCATTATCTGATTGATGATAGTGATTTATCTTGCTGCATCTAAAAATGGTTCAAGGACTGAGCTCAACACTAATATTTTATGTAAGATTGATAATTGAACCTAGCTACTTAGGCTCGGTTCAGAAAAGACTCAATTTGAGTTTAGCTCGATTCGAACTCAACTCGTGTTGAGTTTGAATAATTTTTTAGATTTATTTAAAAAATCATTTCAACTCGATTTAGTTTTAACTTAACTTGAGTCTGACCTTTTTTTTAAATGAGTCGAACTTTAACAATTTTTTATACTCATTTAAAAAAATAAGTTCGATAGACTCGACTCGATTAACACTCCTAATCTTATGTATCAAAGTCAGTGAAATTAAATTCAAACAATAGGTTATGCTTTTGACTTTTTGGTTTAATCTCGTCTTAATTCGTGATCACTGTCAATTCTCATCTCTTTAGACTAAACTTATCCTATAACATTAGAAAGGGAGGNTCAACACTAATATTTTATGTAAGATTGATAATTGAACCTAGCTACTTAGGCTCGGTTTAGAAAAGACTCAATTTGAGTTTAGCTTGATTCGAACTCAACTCGTGCTGAGTTTGAATAATTTTTTAGACTAATTTAAAAAATCATTTCAACTCGATTTAGTTTTGACTTAACTCGAGTCTGACCCTTTTTTTAAATGAGTCGAACTTTAACAATTTTTTACACTCATTTAAAAAAATAAGTTCGATAGACTCGACTCGATTAACACCCCTAATCTTATGTATCAAAGTCAGCGAAATTAAATTCAAACAATAGGTTATGCTTTTGACTTTTTGGTTTAATCTCATCTTAATTCATGATCACTGTCAATTCTCATCTCTTTAGACTATACTTGTCCTATAACATTAGAAAGGGAGGGGGGAAACTAACAAAACAAGGGTAACACATGTTACTGATAAAAAAAAGAATGATGAGAAGGGACGTAATCATGTCAAAGAATAAATATATTTTTTAGAAATGATAAATATTGATGAATATTTTAATTTTGATAGAGATAACTTATCTTTAATCGAATTGATAAGAGTATTAATTGAAATGTATCTAAGATAGTCTAAACACCTTGACCTATGAAAAAAATAAATAAATATTGATGACAGATAGCATATATCAAACTTCTCCTTTAATGTTGTAAATAGTACTTAGATATGTTTTAGTGAGTAGAAACAAACTTAAAAAAAAAACACAAAAATAATGTGGCGCATTGTAGCATAGTGGGCCATACCTGCAAAAACTTTTAACAGAACAAAACAATTTTATATCTTAAGATCAAGTTAAAAATTCAAAAGCCAACAAAGACGAAGACAAGCCAAGCACGTGACCTGACAGAAACTTACCTGCAAAAAAATTTCCTTTCTTTTACTTTTGCTTTTAAGACATCCATTGTTCTCTGTGATCAATCCCATGCATCCCTTCAGTCCAATCACTGAATAAAAAGCTAATTTCGTTTTTCAAAAACCATTATTTGTTGCTTTTCACATTTAAAATCAATTCATATAACAATTTATTTTTATTTTTTTACAGTGTCCCCATATGTATATGTGAAGCTTTTGGCTTTCTGTCTGTTTGTATTTTTCTGGTTAAATGGACAGATAGAGAAAAGAGATTACGATGTTGATATTGAGTGAGAGGATATGGTGTGAAAGAATCACAGGGGATGAACACCGTGAGAGCTAAAAACCAACAACATACCCACATGGAATTTGTGGGAATCGGTTACAAAACGCCGAGAAATCACTCTGTAGCATTCCCAGATCTCTAGGTTCTCAGATTTTCAGACTGTGTGTTTGTTTCTCGAGAAAATTCCCTTCTTTTTGCTCGTTTTTCCAGCCCAAATGTTGTCTATTTACCTTCTGGGGTGGGGAGTTGGTTTGTGAAGTTTTACCAGCTGGGTAGTGTATGCTGTTTTGTGGCCTGCGTCAAGGGTAGTTCTGAGTCTGTTTCAAGAGTAAAGAGTAAAGGACACTACTGGTAATGGTTGGTTTGCTTTGTAGGTTCTTTTCCTGGAAATTGCTTTTTGTTGCAANTTTTTTTAAATGAGTCGAACTTTAACAATTTTTTACACTCATTTAAAAAAATAAGTTCGATAGACTCGACTCGATTAACACCCCTAATCTTATGTATCAAAGTCAGCGAAATTAAATTCAAACAATAGGTTATGCTTTTGACTTTTTGGTTTAATCTCGTCTTAATTCGTGATCACTGTCAATTCTCATCTCTTTAGACTAAACTTATCCTATAACATTAGAAAGGGAGGGGGGGGAAACTAACAAAACAAGGGTAACACATGTTACTGATAAAAAAAAGAATGATGAGAAGGGACGTAATCATGTCAAAGAATAAATATATTTTTTAGAAATGATAAATATTGATGAATATTTTAATTTTGATAGAGATAACTTATCTTTAATCGAATTGATAAGAGTATTAATTGAAATGTATCTAAGATAGTCTAAACACCTTGACCTATGAAAAAAATAAATAAATATTGATGACAGATAGCATATATCAAACTTCTCCTTTAATGTTGTAAATAGTACTTAGATATGTTTTAGTGAGTAGAAACAAACTTAAAAAAAAAAACACAAAAATAATGTGGCGCATTGTAGCATAGTGGGCCATACCTGCAGAAACTTTTAACAGAACAAAACAATTTTATATCTTAAGATCAAGTTAAAAATTCAAAAGCCAACAAAGACGAAGACAAGCCAAGCACGTGACCTGACAGAAACTTACCTGCAAAAAAATTTCCTTTCTTTTACTTTTGCTTTTAAGACATCCATTGTTCTCTGTGATCAATCCCATGCATCCCTTCAGTCCAATCACTGAATAAAAAGCTAATTTCGTTTTTCAAAAACCATTATTTGTTGCTTTTCACATTTAAAATCAATTCATATAACAATTTATTTTTATTTTTTTACAGTGTCCCCATATGTATATGTGAAGCTTTTGGCTTTCTGTCTGTTTGTATTTTTCTGGTTAAATGGACAGATAGAGAAAAGAGATTACGATGTTGATATTGAGTGAGAGGATATGGTGTGAAAGAATCACAGGGGATGAACACCGTGAGAGCTAAAAACCAACAACATACCCACATGGAATTTGTGGGAATCGGTTACAAAACGCCGAGAAATCACTCTGTAGCATTCCCAGATCTCTAGGTTCTCAGATTTTCAGACTGTGTGTTTGTTTCTCGAGAAAATTCCCTTCTTTTTGCTCGTTTTTCCAGCCCAAATGTTGTCTATTTACCTTCTGGGGTGGGGAGTTGGTTTGTGAAGTTTTACCAGCTGGGTAGTGTATGCTGTTTTGTGGCCTGCGTCAAGGGTAGTTCTGAGTCTGTTTCAAGAGTAAAGAGTAAAGGACACTACTGGTAATGGTTGGTTTGCTTTGTAGGTTCTTTTCCTGGAAATTGCTTTTTGTTGCAAAGTTGTTTGGATAAGACAATATTGAGAATTTGAGATTGTGGGTTCATGTGAGAATGGCTTCTGTTAAAGGTGCATGTGGTGGTTTTGATAAGTTGGTAATGGCTGTGCACAGAAAGTAGAGGTACTGAAGTGAGTGTAGAGTATGGAAAGAAGGGGGTCTCTGTTCTGGAAAGTGGGATTGCTTGTTTTGACATTGATCGAGGGTTCCTCTGCTACTCTCTCTCCTTCTGGGGTAAACTATGAAGGTTAGTTTCTGTATATGATTTTCATTTATATTTGAAAGCCTCAATTATCTTCATATGTTTCTAGAAATTGGAACCCATCTTCTTCAATTCCCTGGATTGGGTCCAAATTCTCTCTCTCTCTCTCTCTCGTTAGTTAATCTTGCACAAGGAACCACCCCTTTAGCAAAGGAACCGCCTCTTTAGAACAATAAATGCTTATAAATTTTTTCTCTGTTGTTACATATGCTTGCTTGATAAAAAAGGACAGAAACTGAAAGGAAAAGCAACAAAACCATTATTGTTTTGTCTATTAAAAATGACCACTCTGCTGTGTCCTTCAATGTTATGCAGTTGTAGCTTTGATGGCTATAAAGAATGATCTACAAGATCCATACAATGTGCTGGAGAACTGGGATAGTAATTCTGTAGACCCTTGCAGTTGGAGGATGATTACTTGCACATCTGATGGCTATGTTTTAGCTTTGTGAGTAGCTTTATTCACTTGACCTGTTGCTTGTTTCTACATAAAAATTGCACAAACAACCCTTCGGAATTGGACAAATTCTTGATGGGCTGACTTTTTTTCTTTTTCATTTTTTCAGAGGACTACCTAGTCAGAGCTTGTCAGGGACCTTATCACCCGGGATTGGAAATCTCAGTAACTTGCAATCTGTGTAAGTGATTGATATTTCTCCTGTGTTTTTTGTTTAATGACCTCTTTTTCCATATCTGGTGTTAGTTAGTTTTCACTTCAATTTTGTTCAGTATTTCCTCTATGCTCTTAAGAAATCTCCAGTTATCATGTTTTGCGAACACAGTCAAGTCATTACTCTTGGTTTTGCATATTCGTTTAGGTTGCTGCAGAATAATGCCATCTCTGGTCCTATTCCCGCTACAATTGGGAAGTTGGAGAAGCTTCAGACACTTGATCTCTCCAGCAATAAGTTCAATGGTGAAATGCCCAATTCTTTAGGGTACCTAAGGAACCTGAATTATTTGTAAGTTTCAGGAACATCCTTCACTATTGTCATACTCCATATATTTTGCAACTTTATATATCAATGGGAATGAAATTTTTATTTGGACTCTTTTTGGTGTTCTTCTTTTTGAGCAAGTCAGGCGACTAAACAACAATAGCCTCACTGGACCAATTCCTGAATCGTTGTCCAATATTGATGGTCTCACTCTTGTGTATGTCTTTGTGCCTTTTAGACCCTCTGGTTCACTTTTTTTCATGCAGTTTTTAGGAAGAACCTTGAACAGAATTGAACTTTTTGTTTTTTCCCCCTTTAAAAAGTTGCAATTTTTGTAGGGACCTTTCATTCAACAATTTCAGTGGTTCCTTGCCGAGAATATCAGCAAGAACTTTCAAGTGAGTTGTTCTATGCCTTGTCTCATACTGCTCTGTTTTGATTGGTTGTTTCTTCTTACTAATTGAACTTTTCTCATTGCTGGGTAAGTAATTGAAGTTTTCTTATTGCTTCCTTTGAACTTTCAGAATTATTGGCAACCCTTTGATTTGTGGGCAGAACTCTGTAAACAATTGCTCTAATGTTTATCCGGAGCCACTTGCTTTCCCACCAGATGGTGTCAAAGGTGTTTTATCACATGGTTACATTTACTCTGTTATCCAGTTATGCATGTTTAATATCCCCAAGACCTTGTTGAGATGAATTCATTGAATTTTTCCTTTCCCAGATCAGTCAGAATCCGGAATGAAAAGCCACCATTTGGCAATCGCTTTTGGTGCAAGCTTTGGCACTGCCTTTTTAATTATAATCATTATTGGGTCACTGGTTTGGTGGAGATATAGACACAATCAGCAGATTTTCTTTGATGTTAATGGTTAGCCTTCTGTACTTTATGCTCATTTTATTTTCCAGTTTCTATATCAGTTAATGTTTTCTTTTTTCTCATGGCCTTCTTGTGTTTACATGAAATGTATATAAAGTAGAGTCTGAATCTCAGGACCCCAAGTGTCTGAATTTTTCACAGGGATGTTACGGTTTAGAGTTGCATTCTGGGGTGGGTTTTGCAGTGTCTAACCGTTTCTTGAAGTGGTTCAAGGCTTCCTAGCTTATCAAACCTTGTAGTTTGATGTATAAAATAGTATATCACACTTGAAAAGTTCTGATACAAAAGGTCCCCTTTCCATCAAATTTTTATGTTAGTATTAGCTTAATTTTCTCTCCATCTATTTTGAATCATTGCTGAAATCAATTACAAGAAACTAGTAGGACACAGAATTCAATGAATAAGTAAAATCTAAATAACTGAACAGATAGTCATTTGGGGGTTGACTAGATAATTGATACTTCAAACAATAATAAACTTGCATGTATGTGCAATTCAATGTGAGAGTTAAATATATATTTTTTTATAGTTAATTTGTGAGAGTTAAATTGCTGGAAACTCCAAACTGCCAAAAGTGCAATCCTTTCGAATTAGAGTGGGATGTAAAAACTACGTGGCAAAGTTATTTGAGGTTAAGGAATGGTTTGCTCTTCCCCATATGTCTAAAGTGATGTCATACAATTTGATGACATGAAAACATTCACAATGACATATACACACATGAATTGCCTGACCAAAAAAAAAAATGAAAATTTAAGGAATATATATTTGCACTGAAATTGTGTGTTATATACTTGAAACAAAAAGGATTATTAGATCAAATACAACTAATCTCCGAGATTCAACCGCATCTTCCCCTATTCTATAGACTGCCTTCAAACATTAATATTGTTTAATTCTTCAAATTTGAAAAATAAAAGAATACAAACAAAAATTGGAAAGCAATCTCAAAAGGTTGTATGAATGTTTCCCATAGGAGTTTGATTTGTCAAGTAACTCTCAGCTTACTCATTTTCTTGTCAATGGAGTTTTTTGAAGACTATTAGCATCTTCATTAACAACTAGATGAAATTAGAGTTTTTATACGTTGGATTTAGTTTTAATATTGGCATGCCAATGGATTTATTTTCAGGCAATGCCATTTATGACTTTTGTCTGAGTTGTTAATCCGGATATATAATGTTGCACTTTCCACTGTATAACTGACCTGCATCTGACTACGACTTGTTACTTGGCAGATCAATATGATCCCGAGGTATGCTTGGGACATTTGAAAAGGTATACCTTCAAGGAACTTCGGGCCGCAACTGACCATTTTAGCTCAAAGAATATTTTGGGGAGAGGAGGATTCGGAATTGTGTATAAGGGTTGCTTAAATGATGGGACTGTGGTGGCCGTCAAAAGGTTGAAGGACTATAATATTCTTGGTGGTGAAATACAGTTTCAGACTGAAGTAGAAATGATAAGTTTGGCTGTCCATAAGAATCTTCTTCGGCTTTGGGGTTTCTGCACAACTGAAAATGAACGACTTCTGGTTTATCCATATTTGCCAAACGGGAGTGTGGCATCTAGATTGAAAGGTTAGATAACTTTGTCTTCCATTTGGTAAAATTCTGTCATAAAGGGGTAATATGTTATTTCAGTGCTTGCTACAATTTAAATTCAGATATGTTCGTTAGGGTGTATTAAATGATGGTATCAAGGAAATATGAATTCCAATACCACCACAGAAAGATCCAGTGACACATTTTTAGTGCTCAAGTAAAACATTAAGGGCAAGTAAAAATAACTTCAGTTGAATGTCCTTTTTTGGATAACCTGGATATTACAAAGAATTTTTTGCTACCCAAGAAAGAAACAAACAAGCTCTTTCTTTCTTCCCACGGGTCAGATTTTCTTTTATAGGTAAATATGGAGGATATTGAGATGTGTGTGTCACTTACTTAAGGAAGGTCTGTTTTTGCTCAATGAGAAGGGAGGGTAAAGGTGTCACTAACTGCCTTTCTATTTCTGTATGGGAGAATGTACATGAGAGATTTTGTGAGGCTTTTTTTTTTTGTGACTGATTTGCTCCTAGTAGATGGTAGTTTGTGATTTGGTTTGGGGTGTTATGACTCCAAGGCACTTTAATCGGCATTCATTTTAACCAGCTTCTTTCCCTAGGTGATGCTAAGCATATTCCCGTCTCAAACGCTTTTGAACTTGACTCCACAGATACTCCTTTAAAACCCATAGCTTTACACTTTATCATTTGAATGACAATCAGCATTCCTGCAGTCATCCAAGGTACAAAATTATTCAATGTAATTCTATAGACTTTACCATGAGGTGATGTATTTGCAGTATTGGTTGTTGTCTACACTCAGAAGGGTCCAGTGATTGACTGACAATACCTTATTGCTTATAATATGTAACATAACCTCATCTCATCTGCTTCCTGAACACTGTTGATTTGTGTTGCCTGCTGGGAGGGTGCATGTCATGTATTGGCTTAGAGCCCCTTAGTCATTACTGTCACTTGACTCAAGCTAACCTTGTATTTGTAGCCAAAAATGCATATTCAGATATATTCAATTTTTGTTGCTTAGAAATAAACCTTTTTTTGCTTGTGGGCAAAACCTTGCCAGCATATGGCATCTGTGGGAGACAGTACATTGATTTCTTCTTTTGGGTTTTCTTGTTAGATCATATTCATGGAAGCCCAGTTTTAGACTGGTCAAGGCGGAAGAGGATAGCTTTAGGTACAGCAAGGGGCCTATTATACCTGCATGAGCAGTGTGACCCCAAAATCATTCATCGTGATGTCAAAGCAGCTAACATTCTGTTGGATGAAGACTTTGAGGCAGTTGTTGGAGATTTTGGGTTGGCAAAGCTCTTGGATCATCATGATTCTCATGTGACAACAGCGGTCCGCGGCACTGTTGGCCACATTGCTCCAGAGTATTTGTGTACTGGCCAATCATCAGAAAAGACTGACGTCTTTGGATTTGGGATCTTACTCCTTGAGCTAATTACTGGTCGGAAGGCTGTGGACTTTGGTCAGGCAGCCAACCAGAAAGGTGTAATGCTTGATTGGGTATATCGTCTCTCTCTCTCTCTCTCTCTCTCTCTCTCTCTCTCACACACACACACACACACACACACGCATATTCACTATTCAATGTTTAGGAATTCAGTTGGCTTTACATCAATTTAGCATTTGTGGAGAAACCAAAAGTTTTTATCCTACTTTGCATGTATGCATAGATTCTGTGACTGGGACAGTCACAGAATAGTAGGATTAAAACTGGGACAGTTTTTAACCTACTATTGTGTTGGATTGAGAAATCCTCTTAGCTTTTCCATACTATTGCCAGACATATTTCGTTTCATCTGAACATTAAATTCTTTCTTTCATTGTTGTGGGACTTTTTTACAGGTAAAGAAACTCCATAAAGAAAAAAAGCTGAATCTAATGGTTGACAAGGATTTGAAGAACAACTTTGACAGGGTTGAGTTAGAAGAAATTGTTCAAGTTGCCCTACTATGTACTCAGTTTAACCCATCTTACCGTCCCAAGATGTCAGAAGTACTAAGGATGTTGGAAGGTGATGGCTTAGCCGAAAAATGGGAGGCTGCTCAAAAGGTGGAGACACCAAGATACCGGACATTTGATCACCCTCCTCAAAGATATTCCGAGCTCATAGAAGAATCTTCACTTGTGATTGAGGCAATGGAACTTTCTGGCCCCAGATGACAACCTTTAGGTTCTCTCCTCTCTACACATTCCATTCCACTGTCGTTAAGTTACCGAGCTTTGAGCTTTGAGAAATATTTGATTGGTGTTGATAGCTGTTGAATGCATGTATTCATCTGTAAAAAGAAATAGGGAAAGCCATGTATAAGCATTTGGTTCTTTGTGAGTATCTGTGGGTTAAGTTGACGGAGCCTCTGTGGAAAATTTTGCAATCATGTTTGAAAATTGTATGTAGTTGATCTTCTTATTGATGTGAGTGGCAGAGAAATCTATCCGTTGTGTGAGATTCGGGTATAGTTTGATAATTTTTTTGAATTTGTTATTGTTTTCCAAGTTTTTTGTTGGGTAAAATTTAGTTGTCTAACTGAATAAGGTGAAAGGGGTGTTTTTTTTTTTTAAAAAAAAAGAGAAAGGCAACAAAACTTTGGATCCCACACAGACAATATCTGTATGTAAATATGAAAAAGAAAAAGAGACTAAAATAAATAAATTCATATAATTAAATATGATTTAATAAGAAACTTAGGTAGTTTAAGTAATAATTATAGATGATTGTAAGTATTCGATTGAAAAGAAATGAAGGGTAATAGAGATATTTTATGAAAACACGTTAAGTATGATGAAAAGGGACTTTTTAGGGGTTATTATTATAATTATAGACAATAAAAAGGGACTTTTGAGGGGTTATAATTATAGACAATTTACTGGTATTATATTCATTCTATCTATAAGTGGACACCAAAGCCTATTTCTCCCTTAATTAATAGTGGGACCCCACCTGCCCCCTGTAAATTAGATTTATGTAAATTTTAGATTTTTCAGAAAAAAAAAAAAGATAAAACATTTATCTGCTTTCAGAAATAAAATGGGGAGAATTAAACTATACATTATTCAACTGAGAATATTGGGAAATTTGAAGGGCTTGTGATACCAAGGCCCTATTGGAAGATAGCCTGTTGGTGCCCACTAGTTTTTTGCTTTTCGACCAGCCCAAAACTGGTCCATGAGAGTGTGGACTACTTGGCACAACGGGCCGGGATGCATCCCAAACTAAGGGCCCCACAAATGTTTATGCTACGTGTCAAGAACTTAGCGGAAAAGCAATTGGTGAACGCATCTGTGAGGAGCAGAGAAGCACACATACCAAACGCGTCCCAAGCAATCGTATCAGAATTTTGTTGGAAAGTAGTGAAGACGCCACGTGTCCCATGAACTCTGTCGGCGCAAAGTGAGTCCCGCACTTGTGTCAGACATGGCAGTTAATATGACCATTCTGCCCCTAAACTTCGTCCCTCGCTCAAAAATATTTTAATTTAATGTTTTATTTGGCATAATAAAAAAATAAAATAATGAAAAATTTAAAAGATAAAAAATTAAAATAATGGATAAAATATTTTCATCAAGAAAAAAGAAAAATAGAGAACGATGGAAAGTGAATTTTTTCTAACTCACTAGAATATATTCCTTAAAATTTGAGAATAAAAGTAGATAAAAATTTAATTATATATTTTTAAAATATATATTATTTATATTTATATTCTTTTGACATATGCATATATTATATTTATTTATTATATATTATGTATACATTGATTTTATATATAAATACAATAATAAAATATATATTTATATATTTTTTTATCAAATAAATAAAAATTAATTATTTTTATTTCTTATCCCTCTTAATAAACACAAAGAAGGCAAGAAAAATATATTTTTCCTTGATGATTTTTTTGTTTTGTTTTTGAACTACCGTGTTAAGAGGGAAAATCACATCTGAAGTTATCTTCAGAGCCAAGATCCCTGAAGTTTAACATGTAGTAAGGGGTTTATGTGTAATTGTACTCTCTTTCTGTCTCTCTCTCTTAACAGCCTAACAGTTGGACTGTGGGGAGAAACCTTTTCCAACTGTGTCACCAACATTCGTACCGTTTTCAACTTCGCCCTTTGCAAACGCACACAAGAAATCAAGAATGCCATTGTCTCCATCCCCTTCATTGCAATCTCCTAATACATTCTACTAGTTTTTTTTTTTTTTTTTTGGGTTTTTTCCAATTTTTTGTGCTGCACATAGCACGCACACCCTCGAACATTTTTTTTCGGTACATTCCATCCGGAACTTGTTTCTTGTTGTTTGCTAGGGTTTTTTGATCTTCAGCCATGGTAATGGACATGAAGAAAGTTGCATTCTCAGATCAGTTCCCATACTGTACATCATCATCATCAAGAAGGAAGGTAGTTTCTGGCTTTGGTTTGGGGGTTGTGGCTTGTATCTTTGTTTTGAGTGTAGTATTGTTCAATGTTTCATTTAAAGCTCCTTTCTTGAACCCAATGTTTCAAGGGTTTAACAGTTTTGGTGCCAATAATAGTTCTCTTCTTCCTCGGTCACTTTCCTTTTCAAGTACCACTCCTATTTCTTCATCTTCTTCTTCTTCTTCTTCTCATTCTTCTAGTAATTTATCAAGTCCTAGTATTACTGCTTCTTCTAAAGAACGGCAGAATTCTCAGGATTTAGATGAAACCCATAGAGCAAGTGCTTCTGATACCGGTGAAAGTGGAAAATCTGTAGATTCTAATGCAAAAGAAATAGTTTCGGATAAGATCCATGTGGGGAATATTTCTGAGGTGGTGAAAAATGGAAACTTTAATTTTGACAAGGAGAGGATTCAAGAAAATATCCAAGAATTGAATGCTTCAGAGATTGATGAAAATGCTAAATTCTTGAATGCTAGTGGGGAAGGAATGGTTTCGGAGGAGACCCATTTGGGAAATTCCTCTGACAATGGGAAAAACGGGAGCTTTGTTGTTGGAGGTCAGATTGCAGAGAAAACTAATGAAGGGAAAGTTAATTTGAGAAATGAAAATAAAAGTTCTCTTGGTACATCTATTAGTTTTACCAAGAATTCCACTGTTTGGAAAAAAGAAGTTGCGGATAAGAACATTGTGGGTAATCTTACTGATAATGGAGAGAATGTTGGATCACATGGTAGAGAACAAAGTGTTTCAGAAGTCAACAATCAGGGTTTTTCTTCTGAGAAAATGAATAATTCGATTTCGCATTATGATTCTCAACATAAGACAATGCACAATGGTTCTTATGGGGAATGTGATATCTTTGATGGTAGATGGGTGAGAGATGATACAAAGCCATATTACCCTGCTGGGTCTTGCCCTTACATTGATAGGGATTTTGATTGTCACCTCAATGGAAGGCCAGATGATGGGTTTTTGAGATGGAGATGGCAGCCATATGGGTGTGACATCCCGAGGTAAGATTTATCTAAATGCTTTTAATTACATTGGTAAGGATTTTATTTCAGAGATAAGGAATCAAACTCCTGTTGCTGTTACGGTTAGTGCGAGTTGCTCGTAGTCCGTTACTAGTCTAGCTATATTGGTGTGAATTAGTGTACATGTCGAGTGAATACTGATTATTATTGTCTTTTGAGTTGGAATTGTTGAAGGGCACTCACAAAGGTCTCTATACTGTAAGATAAGCACTGTAGGGGATGGCATGTGCTGTGCTTGCTTTTATCTGTATTGTAGCTTCTTCTCTTATTTACTTTAGTTGTTTCCCCTGTATTGGTGTCATTTTGTAGGAAGTCTGGGAAGAAGTGTAGCAGTTTACCTATTTTGTCCTTGATGGATTTACTCGTACGTTGCACTTGGAGAACTAGGAACTCTTATGTGAATGGTTTGAACAAATTTGAAGCTCAGTCAATTTGAAGGATATTATATATGCCAAGTCTTCGTGTTAATTTTCATAGCTTTGTAGGTCTTCATTAAATTGGAGTTTGTTTGAGTGTGGAGAACAAATGACAGTGTCCAGAGAGTGTTGGGATTGGCCCTGGTCATAATTCAGTTGGCATGGATAGCATTCCTCATAAATGCTAGCTTCTGTGTAAAATTTTGTGAAGTTTTGAATTAATGCATGAATATCTTCACTTATTTTTTGTTGACTGCTGATGTTATCCAGTCTGAACGCAACTGACTTTCTAGAGAGACTGAGAGGGAAGAAATTGGTTTTCGTGGGGGATTCACTAAATAGGAACATGTGGGAGTCTCTTGTTTGCATTCTCCGCCACAGCATCAGGGACAAGAAACGAGTTTATGAGATATCGGGAAGGAGAGATTTCAAAAAGAAGGGGTTCTATGCATTCAGATTTGAGGCAAGCTCCCCAAACTTCCCACTATGTAGAAAATTGTATTTAATGACATATTCCTGTCTCATATGTTATGCTTGGGCTGGATCTGTAGGACTACAATTGTTCCGTGGATTTTGTTAGTGCTCCATTTCTTGTCAGGGAATCATACTTCAAGGATAGAAACAGGTCTTTTGACACACTAAGATTGGATTTAATGGACCGGACAACTTCAATGTATCATGATGCTGATGTCGTAATCTTCAATACTGGCCATTGGTGGACTCATGAGAAAACCTCTAGAGGGTGAGTGCTGTTTTGTTTACCACATAATTTCTTCCATGTTCTTCTATATGGTTGTGAAGTAATGTGTTCCACAACACTGAAATCTTGTATGAGTCTCTAAATCTTGTAATCTGAAAGAAAAATGCAAGCAGGGAACTTAAATGAAAAGAAGAAAGTGTGAATTCAAAACTTATCTGCTATATGGATATCAATTTATTTTCTGCTGTTATTTTTGTAAGCCTCGTATAGAGTCAGTCTAGAAACTTAATCTGTTGGCTAAATTTTGTGCATTTGGTCGTGTTCTACAGAGAGGATTATTACCAGGAAGGTGATCATGTGTATCCAAGACTCAAGGTCCTAGAAGCGTACAAGAGGGCACTTGCCACTTGGGCCAGATGGGTTGACAAGAACATTGATGGAAACAGAACACAGGTTATCTTCCGAGGATATTCAGTCACCCATTTCAGGTATTCAGGACTATTTAGTTTGACGTCTCACCTCTGATCTCTTTAGAACACCTCACATGCTAGTTTATGGTCTTCATCCGTACTGAGGCATTTCTATGATTGGAAGATTCATCTTATATTATTTTTCCCAAACAATTCGGTTTGTGAACTTTGAGGCTTTTTTTTTTGTTGGGGAAATTAACTTTGAAGCTTGGATTTACTTGTATCACTGATCTTGGTCTCCGAGTAGACCGCCAACAGGAATGAATATGCACTAGATAGATGTCAAACTATCGAATAAACTTATGTTGACAAATTTTGATGAGAAAGTAAGCAAACCTGAAGTATGACAATGTTTGACAGCAATTTTTGGAAGTTGTAAAATTTGAGAAATAGCTTTAAAGGGGAGCAGCCAGGCAACCAGACGATAAGCATTATTTTTTTTATTTTTCATCAAATAATTATCTGGAATAACAGGGAATATTGTGTTTACTTGTATGATTATTGATTAGAGGGTTCACAGAGAATGAGGCAAGTGCATCAGTGAGGGCCTTCTAGGTATCGGAAACACTGTCCTTTTACTAAATTTCAAGGATAACTAGCAAGCTCTGCTGTGAATAAATTCAAACCATGTGGAGTGCCCTGGTCAACAGACAATGCAACATGAATAATTACATTGTCATCTACCATAGCCTTTATTGTTTCCCCAAAAGAGTCTTCTCCTAGGCTTTTCTATGGTTCCTTTCCTGGCCTTGTTTCATTGTTTGTAATTTTTTGTAGCAAAATAACTACGCAATTGAAAAAGCTGCTTACTGTAAGCTTGTTTGCAGTGTTTTATGCCATGTATCTTCATCCAACCCATATTCCTCCTATCCTAACTTCCGTGTATCTGTTCACTGCATACAAGGCTCACTTACACCATGATAAATTTCTATCATATTTTGCACTCTGCAGTTCCCTTTGACTGAAATCTCTCTCGAAGAACTGTAATTAAGATCAGTGTTTGCCAAACAGTTTTGACGAACCTTTCTTGACACAACTTCATACTTCATTCTTGTGATTTTAGTGAATGGAAAGATTATTCAGTTACATGTGTTTCATAGTTTCTAAAGTCGTCAGATATACTGAATTCTATTAGAAAAAAAGGGCATCTCTTAAAAGTATTTGACGTGGTTGCAGGGGAGGCATGTGGAACTCAGGAGGGCAGTGCCACAAAGAAACTGAACCAATCTTCAATACAACTCACTTGGCAAAGTACCCTTCAAAGATGAGAGCTCTAGAACTTGTCCTTCAAGAGATGAAAACTCCGGTTCTATACCTTAACATAAGTAGGCTTACAGATTTCAGAAAAGATGGCCATCCTTCAGTTTATCGGAAGGAATACAAAACAGCAGCAGAACGAAACACTGCTGAGCATTCTCAAGATTGCAGCCATTGGTGCTTGCCTGGAGTACCTGATACTTGGAATGAGTTGGTATATGCTTCTCTCTTGAAGGCTGGGAGAGGATCTTGGAGTAGCTGAAAAGATATGTACACGAATAATCGGATATATAATGATTTTTTCCCGCTATTGTTTTTTTATATGGAGGTATATTTTCACTTCCTAGTACATGTTGTAAGTTTTACGATTAGGTGCAAGATATATAGATCGACCCAGATAGGGCTGTTAAAAAAGCCAAGCTTGGACACTTTTTAAAGCTCGTTTATGTGTAAATAGTTAAACGAGCCAGCTTGTTTATGTGTAAATTTAGTTCGATTTAGGCTCGAATTCAGCTCGATTAACACCTCTAGGCCCATATAAAAAAATGTAGCATATTTTGTGGTTCTAGTTATGCAAATCCATCCAAGATTCGGCCCAAGAAAATGGGTTTGTTTGTTATTTCAAGGTTCAAGTTACCATGGACAGCTAGGTTCACATGGTTAGAAAGAAATTGACGATGGAAAATGAAAAAAAAGTAGAAAGACAAGAGAAAGAAAATAAAAAGAAAAATTTTATTTTCTTGTATGCGTTTAATTAGAATGAAAAATTTGCCAAAAAAATAAAGAAAAATTGGTGCAAGGATTAACTTATCTTTATCAGATCAATTTAATGGGAAAAAAAGGTAAGTGGGTAAAATAAGAAAAATAAAATATTTTTTAGGGAAACAAAAATTTCTCCACATAATTTGTGGGAAATCAAAGTAGATGTTTACAGAAAAATTTGAGACTTAAAAAGAAATTTTTTTTTTCATTAAATTATACTTTCTAATCAAACAACAAAAAAGTTAGTTTTTATTTTTTTGCACTTTCTAGTACTTTGACGCTAACCAAACGAAGCCGTAGTGTGGTATACACTTCATTGCAAAAGAATTAAGAAAAATGATGTCGATAGTCTATCAAAGGATGGGAAAATTTTAGTTCATTTTTATCATCAATAACAAGTTATGGGAAAATTTTAGTTCATTTTTATCATCAATAACAAGTTATGGGAAAATTTTAGTTCATTTTTATCATCAATAACAAGTTAACTTTGTAAGCTAATATTTTGGTTGGTTGAAATGAAAACGAAAGCCTCACTTACTAATTTGCATAAGCTGTATAGTCATAATTCAACTCGAGAAAACCTTAACAAGGAATATTTCTTTTTTTTAAAATTTTTTGTATTTCCCGGTACCCTTACAATAGCTAATGGTCCGTCACTTAGGCCCCATTTATATTTTAAAGAGTAAATTATACGTGTGACCTTCAAATTATGATTTTTGTGTCCATTAAGTTTTTACATTTTTTTTTGCATCAATTAAACCCTTAAATTCTCTAATTGTGTTAATTGAGTCTTTCTGTTTGCCTCCGTTAGAGTGTGCCACTTAGGTGATTATATGATACAAAAAGATAAAAACCCTTATGTCTGCCTCCGTTAGAGTATGTCACTTAGGTGATTATATGACACAAAAAGATAAAAAAAACTTAATTGACACAATTAGAAAGTTTAGGTGCTCAATTGACACAATTGGAGAGTTATACATCTAGTTTACTCCAACCATTTGTGTTACGTGAGTGACAAACTTTATAACTTTCTTTTAAAAGATATAACGGAGATAGACATAATGACTCAATTGACACAATTAGATAATTGAGGGACTCAATTGACACAAAAAAGGAACTTAATTGACACAAGGATCATACTTTGAAGGTCATATGTGTAGTTTACTTTATTTTAAGTAATAAATAATTTTTCCTTTAAAATTAAACTTAATAGAGATAAAATAAAAAAGAGACAGGGGAGAGAGAAAAGAGAAGTAGATTTATATTAGTGGGGTTATTTGACAATGGGGAGTGTGTCGACTGAGTTTATGTTTTTGAGTTAAAAAAAATTGAAAAGAATTTTGTGTTATTGGATCAAAGTAGATAAACATTAAACCAATCTTAATGATGAGTGCAGAATATTGCACATTTAATAACCTCATTGCATATATTTTAACTTGTTTTTGTAATGAATCGTGGGAAATTGGGTTAAATAAGAGATTAATGGAGAATTGCTTGATTGCAGGTGATTGGACGGTAAGTGTAGATGTTAATCACTTTACAACATGATTGGGGATAATGGGCAAAAAGGGAACTCAAGACGAATGGCTCGGGATCTTGAAATGCTAAAAATTCAAAGAAGGCAAGGGTGGTACCGATACCTTCATCACTAGATATCGGTACCTAAGCTTATTGGAATTTAGGTACTGGTACGTGTAACCTTAGGTACCGGTATCTGACACTTGGACCTCAGCCTGTGAAATGAAGAGATACCTTGCACTTGTACCTTAGCTTTTCAAAATGGAAGAAATGAAGTAGGTACCGGTACCCCATCACTAGGTACTTGTACCTAAGTCCTCTTCCTAACGAGGTACCGGTACGTCATCACTTGGTACCCGTACCTAAAGCCCAGAAGTCTCAAATTAGTTTTCATACGATTCCATAAGCCACAAGGGCTCACTCCTACTATTCTAATTGAGATTTTGACCTTTTCAACATTCCACCACAGTCTCCTAATCTCTGCATTCAACCTTTATGCATGGTGGTGTGGAAGGGGGTAATAAAAGGAGAGAAAAAAAGGGAATGATTGAAAAAGGAAAAGGGTCATGCTTTTGCCTGAATTTTTGGAAGCCTTTTTGGGAATCTCCTCCCAAAGCATCTGACCTCTACACACTCATGCTCCGTTTGGTAGGGAGGATGAAAAGTAGGAGAGATACACTTTCTATCTTTCAAGGATGAAAAGTAGGAAGGATACACTTTCCTTCCTTTGTGTTTCGTTGGATGGATGGAAAATAAAAATGACTATTTTTTTTTTGTATTAACTAAAATTAGGGGTGACAATAGAGTCGAGTCGTGTCGTGTCAGATTTGTGTTAAGTCATTACAAGTTTGTGTCGAATATTAGTCAAACATAACTTAACTCATTTAACTAAATGGGTCGTGTCGAATTGTGAGTTGACCTATTTATTTTCGTATCGAGTTCGAGTCGTGTTATCGTATTGAGTTGAAAATTTTCACCCTTAGTTAAGATGAAATTTTTTTTTAATTTAAAATTTATTTTTTTTTTAATTTTTTAATTTTTAATTTTTTTTTATAAAAAATTAATTTTTGNCCGGTATCTGACACTTGGACCTCAGCCTGTGAAATGAAGAGATACCTTGCACTTGTACCTTAGCTTTTCAAAATGGAAGAAATGAAGTAGGTACCGGTACCCCATCACTAGGTACTTGTACCTAAGTCCTCTTCCTAACGAGGTACCGGTACGTCATCACTTGGTACCCGTACCTAAAGCCCAGAAGTCTCAAATTAGTTTTCATACGATTCCATAAGCCACAAGGGCTCACTCCTACTATTCTAATTGAGATTTTGACCTTTTCAACATTCCACCACAGTCTCCTAATCTCTGCATTCAACCTTTATGCATGGTGGTGTGGAAGGGGGTAATAAAAGGAGAGAAAAAAAGGGAATGATTGAAAAAGGAAAAGGGTCATGCTTTTGCCTGAATTTTTGGAAGCCTTTTTGGGAATCTCCTCCCAAAGCATCTGACCTCTACACACTCATGCTCCGTTTGGTAGGGAGGATGAAAAGTAGGAGAGATACACTTTCTATCTTTCAAGGATGAAAAGTAGGAAGGATACACTTTCCTTCCTTTGTGTTTCGTTGGATGGATGGAAAATAAAAATGACTATTTTTTTTTTGTATTAACTAAAATTAGGGGTGACAATAGAGTCGAGTCGTGTCGTGTCAGATTTGTGTTAAGTCATTACAAGTTTGTGTCGAATATTAGTCAAACATAACTTAACTCATTTAACTAAATGGGTCGTGTCGAATTGTGAGTTGACCTATTTATTTTCGTATCGAGTTCGAGTCGTGTTATCGTATTGAGTTGAAAATTTTCACCCTTAGTTAAGATGAAATTTTTTTTTAATTTAAAATTTATTTTTTTTTTAATTTTTTAATTTTTAATTTTTTTTTATAAAAAATTAATTTTTGAAAATTTTTAAAATATATATACATATTTTACCATTATATTTTTATATGAAATTAATGTATACATAAGATATATGGACAAATAAGATACATCTCAACACAAATAATTAACTTTTTATCCACTTTCCTTCCGATTTTGGAGGGATTGATTTTGGTGAGTTGGAAGGAAAGTTAATCCATCCACTTTTCCATCCTTCCTACTTTTCTTCCTTACCAAACATGATGTTTTATTTATCCCTCCAATTTTTCATCCTCCCACTTTTTCATCGTACCAAACAGAGCATCAGGGATAGAGAGTGGAGGATAGACGAAAATGAGGGCACTTTTGGACATTGAAGAACTTTTAGAGAGAGAAAGTCTAAGGAAGAAAAAGATGGTTCTGGAGAGAGAAAACTAGGTTTTACAGTTTTCTTCACCATTTTCTTTCCTATAAGCTTCAATCTACATGTAATCCTTCTTTCTAGCACATTAATATCATGTAGTTGAAGTTGTATTGAGTTTGACTAAGGTTTCCTAGTTTTATTGTTGCATTTGGGTATTTTTCTCTTTAAGCTCTACATCTTGAGTATGAATTTCATTTCCTTTGTAGTCTAAACTCTTTCTTACATTAATACAAATTCAAGTTTGATTTCATTACCATGTTTTTCTCTTTCACGTTTATTCTTGCCTTTATCATGTGTAGCTAAACTTTAGTTGGCTAATTTAAGAGGGATTTCTTCTTGAGTTTGTGAAATCAATTCTCTTTTATTCTTTCTCGGAGTGTAAAGTGTTTGGTTTGATTAGGTTGAGTGTGGATGAATGTGTTTGTAGGCTTTTGATATACCGTAGACATGTCACGGGGTATACTCTTGTCCAAGCAACCACGTTCACCTCTCACTTCTTTACAAATCAATCAAACACCTAGGCACTATTGGTAGAATGTAATGAATTGATTTGACATACCCATTCCAATGAACTCCATGGACTAGCCAACCATTTTTCTACTCGCAAATTCCTTAAAATACAAACGACCAATATTTTTCATTTTTCCTTTTCACAAATCACTTTTGAAAATACTTGACCTCTCCTTCCCTAAGGAGATGATCTTAGAATATCATTCCAAGTGAAACACAACACCATAAGTCTCTCTACACTTGGAGAGCATTTTTGCATACTCACAAACATTTTTATTCATCCACACACAATTTTTCAGCATTTTTGCAC